CCTTGGAATGTGTGCTGAGCCCCTGCCACCGCTGGCCCCTTGGCCAGCAGGGAATCAAGTCCAGGACACCCTGAGTCCCTCACACAAGGCAGTCAAATGCCCCCAGCCAGGCCTGGTACCCCAAGGGTCTCAGGGTGGATCAGTGGTGGTGAGGGGTTGATGGCCTGTGGTCAGGGGTGGAGGGGAGCAAAGCGGGGTGGGTGACAGGAGGGGCTAGAGTTGCAATCACACGGTCGGCCCCCTGGTGAGAGTCTGGACTGACCTGGGCACCATGCCAAGGAGGCCAGCCCCAGGGCCCAGCTGGCAGGAGGGGTGCAGGACCTCGGAGCACAGTGCAGGGTGGGGGAGGTCTGGGCTGGGAGCTGTGCCGCTGCGAAGGCTGAGTGCCCCGCCCAGCCCGCCTCCAGCCTCTCCTGTGGTCTGGCTGGCAAGGCCTGGGCGTGGCCGACCCAGAGCTGGCAGGGATCAAAGGGCGGAAGGCCACCTCCGCCAGCGCCCACTGAGACAGGAATCTGTAGCCCCAGGGGACGGAATCTACAGCCACATTCCGGGTGCCTGGTCCCCACACGGCAAGGGTGGGGCAGAGCTGGGGTGCCAAGATCGGCACTGTGGAGCGTGGGAACGGCAGCGATGCCAGCACCCGGCCGGCTGCCTGGGCAGAGCCAGCCAGCACCCTCTGCCCCTGCCAGCTGCAGCCCTGCCCCCTGCACCTGGAAGGCCTCGGGCAGCGGGTCTCAGCCGGCCAGCAGGTGGGGTCCTGCTCTGGCTCCATGGAGGCCCAGGAGGCTGCAGTCCCTGAGCAGTGGGGCTTGGGGCTCTGCTGCCCCTGCCCCCCTGGAGACACAGCCCTGCCCAGCCAGCACCGTGGGCCAGCAGACCCTGCCTGCTCTGGGCCGACGGGGCCACAGGAGGGAGAGGGTGTCGTGAGGGGCTTTCCTGGTTGGGGTCACACCGAGCACCTGGCACCCTGACACACTAGGACGGGCTTGCACACATGCTGGCACACGTACACACAGCCTGCGGCGGCTTGCTCTGGTGAAAGGCAGCCTTGCCTGTCCTGGCTGCAGCCCCACAGGTTCCCTGGAGGGTTTGTCCTTAGCTGGCCGAGTGGGGAGAAACTGGGCCCATGGACCCCACTCCCATTCCATGGACACAAGGCCACAGCCTGGGATAAAGGTGGGGGTCCCTGTTCCCACTGCTCTGAGGCGCAGAGATCAGCTGGCTCTGGCTGTAGTCAGAGCCCAGTACCACCCCATCGTCCCTTTACAGGTGGGAACGCTGAGGCCCAGAGACAGCAGATGACTTTTCCAAAGTCACACAGCAAGCTGGAAGCACAGATGGCAGATTCGAGGTGGACTTGCCAACATCTCCGAGACCCAGGCTCCCACTTCTGGGAGTCGTGATCGGTGGCAGCCCCTTCTCTGGGTCTCAGTTTCCTCATTGGGGATGGGCTCCCAGTTACCACCATGCAGAGCGTCTTGCCTGCCACCCCCACCCCTGCTCCTAGACAAGGGGCTCTGGCCCACTCCCAGCCTTCATTGCAGCATGGTGCCCCCTGGTGGCTGCTGGCTGTGCACCAGGACCCATCCTGTGCCCTTTGGGAGATGGACCAGCTTTTATGGGTGAAAAAGGGGATGTCTCTGATCAGCTGTGGTTAAAGCAGTGGGCTAAGGCATCTGCCTGCTAAGCAGAAGGCTCGCAGTTCAAACCCACCGGCCACTCCTCGGAAGGAAGGTTGGGCAATCTACTTCCGTAGCGATACCACCTTGGAAACCCAAGGAGCGGTCGCTGTGAGTCAGATCCAACTCAATGCAGTGAGTTTGATATTTTGGTTTGGGTGCTAAGGAAAAGGTCCGTGGTTCAAACCCACTAGAGTTCTGGGGGAGTCTGCTTCCATACAGACTTACAGCCTTGGGAACCTGTGGGGCAGTTCTACTCTGGGAATCAAATGGCAGCATGTTGTGTCTTTTGAGGGGATGTCGACATAAACCATGGTGGGCACTTCCTGGGGCAGCTGCTTCTGTCAACTCCCCTTCCTGGACTCTGTTGTCCCATGAGCCTGCAGGATGCCATGGCCTAGAGACAGCCAAGCTGGGCTGAAGATGGAACTCATAGAACTTGGGTTGCAGGCTTGCAGAGAGCTGGGCCCCAGGCTCTCCTGGCCCCAGATGGCTAAGTGCTCCGTGGAGGCATGCTGGGAGGGGGCTGTGCAAGCCCTAATGTTCCTGGGCTGACATCTGAGACCTGTGCGCTTACCTCACTCTCACAAGAGAAGGCTGGAGTAGCCCATGTGTGGATGTGTGCTCTGGCACGCCCCCACATACACACACACATACATGCATGTGTGGGTGTGCACATTCACAGGCTCATACACACCTACACACATTGTGGGTGTGCATACACACATCCACACATATGTGCACACATGTGTGCATGGGCATACCCACACAGTCACACATAAATACACATACATGCATGCACATGTGGATGCATGCACACAGAGTACACACATGTGGATGTGCACACTCATACACACATTGAGGGTATGCACACACATTCATACATACATGCATGTGTTCTTGGGCACACCCATCCAATCACACACATATACACACATGTACTTGGGCACACCCACACTCACACATACCCATACATACAGTCACATGTGGCTGTGCATATATATACACAGAGGTGGGTGTGTACACATGCACACACATACATAAACACATATGTATGTGGGTGTGAGCTTGCATACATACATACACAATACATCTTTGGGTGTCCCCACACACACACACACACTCACATACATAAACACATGCATGTGTGTGTAAGCACACACAAAACACATGCGCATAAGTGGGTGTGTGCATGCACACACTGCACATGTGTGGGAGCACACATGGGCATGTATACACACACACGAACACATACACATGACTGTGCACATGCACACACACCCACATACATAAACACATACACACGTATGGGTGTGTGGACACAAATAAACATACATGTGTGGGAGCACATGAGTGCACACACACATACATAAACACATGTGTGTGTGGGTTTGTACATGGACACACTTGTACACACATGCACACACATACATGTATGTGTGAGAACAGGATCTCTGGTAGCATAATGCCTAAGGCATTTGCCTGCCAACCAGAAGGCTGACAGTTCACACCCACCAGCCACTCCTCAGAAGGAAGGTTGGGCAATCTACTTCCGTAGTGATACTGCCTCTGAAACCCAAGGAGGGGTTGCTATGAGTTGAGTCTGACTTGACGGCACATAACAACAATGTGTGAGAACACACATATGTGCTCAAGTCACATATGTGAAGACACATGTTGGAGCACATGTGTGTGCAGGCACACGAAGGGACACTTGTACAACACACCACCCACACACATCCACGTATGTGCGTGCATGAGCCTAGCAGTACCCCTAGCCAGGCCTCCTCTTGCCTCAGGACCCCAAGAGCACCGTCAGGGAGCACCCAGGAGGGACATTGAGGAGAAGGGCAGGCTCTGTGGGGGCCACTCTGAGCCTCAGTTTCTCTTCCATAGTCTCTGGGACCCTTATCGGGTGGTTCCCAGGCACTGTTCCAGACACCCTGTGTGTGTTTGCTCTGAGACAGGTGATCCTCTTTGCCCAGATGGGGAAACTGAGGCACCTCCATTTGATAGTGTGCCTGGGTCAGGTGAGGTAGGGACCTAGGACTCTGAGTTCGGCTCTGCAGCCGAGCCGCTGGGATCTTGGGTGGCTGTGGGTGACGTCACATCTGTCTGGTACCCCGATGTCTGGAGGAATGTGGGCTGGGGCTGACTCCAAACAGAGAAGCGAGATGGCGTGCTTGCAGCCCAGGTCTGGAGAACCCATCCGGGCCACCGACCAGCTGCGGCCCGCCCAGCGCTGGACGTGCCACCCACCCCCGCAACCGAGCGAGCGGCTCCCCTGGGAATTCCAGGCGCGCGCGCGTGTGTGCGTCATAGCGCCTCGGCCTCACTCCTCCCCCTGCCCCCAGCCCCTTCTCACAGATGGCGGTTCGGAGCAGGGAGCTGGATTCCCACGGGGAGAAAGACGCTCCCAGGGTCCGTCTCCTTTCCACCTGAAGAGCGCGCAGCGCTGCGCTGGTGGGAGCCGCTGCCCACTCCAGCTCCTCCAGTCTCCGAAACAAAGGCTCGCCATTTCCCTGGCAGGGAGCTGGGGCGGGCTGGGCAGGAGGGTCCCACAGCGGGGCAGTTCCAGGAGGGGACCTGGGGTGCCACGACGCTCTTGGCCCGGGGCATGGGCGCGTGGGCCCGAATACTCACCGCCGGCTGGGACGCCGGCATTGTGAGGGCAGCTTGTTTGTATGCGGACCCTGAATGCAGGCAGCGGGCGGGGGCTGCCTGTAGTCTGGACTCGAATCCCAGGGGCGCCCGTTCCCACCTCTGGATAACGGGACACTAGCAGTCCCCACCGCATGCGGCATCCCAGGAAACCAGGGCGGGACAAACCTTCCAGAACTGGGCAACGGGAGCGGGGACGCGCCCCTGTGCACCCTGGCTGGCTGCGAAGGGGAGCTGGGCCGGGAACCCCTCCCAGACGCCGGGACCAGGGCTCCCCGACTGCTCGTCCAGGGTGGCTTTGCCGAAGGCTCCAACCGTCCGCGGCCCACCATAGGGTGATGGTGCACAGGCGCTGTCGCGGGGAGCCTGCCCTGTTGGGCGAGGACAGACCTGCGACGGGGAGCAGGCGAGGCAGGGAGCTGTAGGCCGGCATGGGGGTGTGGGGAGGCCCTGGACGCAGAGCCTGCCGCATCCTCCCCTCACCTGGCGCGACCGCTTAGCCCTGGACGGGCCCGCCCCTTCTTGCTCACCTGGGCGCAGCACCCCCATTTCACTGCCAGAAACCAAGGCTCCAGATGTGAGTGGGCCTGGTAGGGGTGGGGGTTTGAGGCTCAGAGAGCTGTCTCACCTAACGGGGTGCTGGACACCCCTGAAGAGCCCATGGCGAGTCCTGAGCGGCAGGTGAGCTGGCGGTCCTGGGGCACGGCCTCCCCCTTCCTTTCGGCTGCCGGCTGCTGGAGACTGAGTCCCCTCCTGACGGCGGTGCTGCACCAGGAGCCCCGGCGCGCTCAAGAAGCCAAGCAGCAGGTGCGTGCGCGGTGGCCACCAGGGGGCAGGACAGGGGCTGCAGAGGAGGCACGGAGCAGACCCAGCTCCGGGGTGCTAGCCCACCCCACCCTTGCTGGAGCAGCCTGGTTATCTGGCCAGTGGGGACCCAGGCCCCTGCCGCCCATACCTCACGTTGGAGTCCCGGTGACAGGAGGGGCTCGGGAAGGTTGTAGGTGGGAGAAGCTCCCCCAGCCTCGCTTTACCAGGTTCCTGGTGCCTCAGTTTAAAATGGGGATGGGGTGGTGAGACCCCCTAGGCAGATGGTCCTCCTTGTCCCCAGGCGAAGTCGGCTGTGGCACATTGGGGCCCATCTGGAGGGAAGAGGAACTGAGCTTGAACACAGAGAGGGAGCAAGAGTGGAGACCCAGGGCTCAGCGGGGGTGTGGCTGAGCCAGGTGGGGGTCCTCTGGGACCAGAGACCCCTGAGCTTGGGGCTTGGCAGTGGCAGGACATATCCCGACCAGGACCTGCCCACTCCCAGAGCCCCACTCACCCTTGGAGTGCAACCCCCACCTAAGCTTCCTGGAGGCACCATTGAGCATGTCTGGACTCACCTCAGGCCCCCAAGCCTCCGTCTGGGAGGGCCCAGTGGCCTGGGGCATGTTGTCTCCACCGCCCCAGGCACTAGGGCTTGACAGGAAGGCAAGGGTTCCCCACCCCCCAGACTCAGCCAGGAGGTACCATGGGGGCTGGAGGAGGGTCAGGACTCATTGCACCTCCCTGTGCCTGTGGGGAGTGGACTTGGAGACGGGCAGCAGGCACAGGTGTGCAAGGGTGCTCACAGGTGCTATGGGCCAGATGCCCTGCCCTGCCCTGCCCCTGCCCAGGGCTGCTTGTCCTGGAACCAGCACACCCCTCCCCCTGTGGTTCAGAGAGCTGCAGTGGCTGTGAAAACGCCTAGGAGACTTCCTGACTGAGGGTGGGGCAGGGGTGAGATGGGAGTCATCTGAACCAAGAAAAGCCCCCACAGTTACAGACGGATTAGTCATTCACTGTCTGGGAGCTCAAGGGAGAGCCTGTCCCTCCTGTCTGGGTGGGTGGGGTGTCACAGCTGGCAGGGGTTGGTGGGCTCTGCCCCCAAGACCAGCCTCAGATTCCTACCTGGCTCCTCCCCAGGGCCCACAGCACTGGGCTCCCCTCCACAGGAACTCACCACCCGCACCATGGTCCCGTGATCATGGGTAACCACCTCACTGGACCTGCCACTGCAGGGAACACGGGAGGGAGCCTCTAGGCTCCTAGTCATGTTCTCACAGTGTTGGGCTTCAGCGGAGAAGGGGAAGTTGCTGATTACTGGGATCTGGGGCTGTCATTGGGGACCCCAGAGCCCACAGAGGGGATTGCCAAGGGTCAGTTTCACACTGTCACAGCTGGGAATCCTGGGTGATGGGTATAGGGTGGAGGTGGCCCTATGTGGGAGGCCTGCAACCACACCCCCTTCCACTCCCCAGAGAATTGTGGGAGCTCAGAGCCTCAGTTGCCCCTCATGGGATGTGGCTGAGTGGTGCCCATCTCTCGCACCACTGAGAGGAGCAGAGGTCCTGTCTGTGGTCCAGCCACACAATGGAATATTCAGCACTAAAAAGGACTCCCAGATTCACACACCATGATGGACTTCAAAGGCATCGGGGCTCAACAAAAGGCCGAAAAACCAGGAGTCCTGACTCACAGCGCCCCTAGAGGACAGAGTGGAGCTGCCCCCCAGGGTTTCCAAGGCTGTAATCTTTATAGAAGTTGACTGCCTCATCTTTCTCCCATGGAGCGGCTGGTGGGTTTGAACCACTGACATTTTGGTTACCAGCCCGAGGATTCAACCACTGTGCCCCAGGGCTCCTCTAAGAGAAAGAAATCAGACTCAAAGGCTTTTCAAGGTATGGCTCCATTCATGGGATTTTCTGGAAAAGGCAGAAGTTGTTGTTGTTAGGTGCTGTGGAGTTGTCTCTGACTCATAGCAACCTTATGCACAGCAGAACGAAACACTGCCCAGTCCTGTGCCAGCCTCACGATCCTTGCTACACCTGAACCCGTTGTTGCAGCCGCTGTGTCAATTCATCTTGTTGAAGGCCTTCCCCTTTCTCATTGACCCTCCACTTTACCAAGCATGATATCCTTCTCCAGGGAATGGTCCCTTCTGACAACATGGCCAAAGCAGGTGAGACAATGTCTGGCCATTCTCACTTCCAAGGAGCATTCCAGCTGCATTCTTCCAGGACAGATTTGTTAGTCCTTTTAGCAGCCCATGGTACTCTAAGCATTCTTCTCCAACACCACAACTCAAAAGCACCAACTCTTCCTTATTCATTCTCCAGCTCTCACATGCACAAAAGAGGCGATTGAAAATACCATGGTTTGGGTCAGGCACACCTTAGTCTTTAAGGAGACATCTTTGCTCTTCATTACTTGAAAAAGGGCTTTTGCAGCAGATTTGCCCAAGGTAATATATCATCTGATGTCTTGACTGCTGCTTCCGTTGTTGATTGTAGAACCAAGTAATATGAAGTCCTTGACAACTTCAATCTTTTCCATACATCGTGAAGTAGTTTATTGATCCAGTTGTGAGGACTTTTGTTTCCTTTATATTGAGATGTAATCGTCTTTAATGTCCATCATCCGTAAGTGCTTCAAGGCATCCTCACTTTCAGCAAGCAAAGTTGTGTCGTCTGTGTTTTGCAGGTTGTTAACGAGCCTTGCTTCAATCCTGATGCTACGTTCTTCTTCATATAGTCCAGCTTCTCAGATTATTTGCTCAGCATACAGATTGAACAAGTATGGTGAAAGGATACAACCCTGACACACTCTCTTCCTGATTTTAAACCATGCAGTATCCCCTTGTTCTGTTCCAATGACAGCCTCCTGATCTATGTACAGGTTCCTCATGAGTTGTTGTTGTTGTTGTTGTTGTTAAGTGCCGTCGAGTCATTTCCAACTCATAGCCACCCCATGCACAGCAGAACGAAACACTGCCCGATCCCACGCCAGCCGCACAATCCATGCTATACTTGAGCCCATCATCACAGCCACCGTGTCAATCCATCTCGTTGAAGGCCTCCCCCTCTTTCGTCAACCCTCCACCCTACCAAGCATGACATCCTTCTCCAGGGAATGGTCCCTTCTTACAACATGAC